TGTATAGCTTACTTTTGTTTAATAAAGCGCACGCAACTAGCCTGACAGAGGGTTAAAAAAAAAAAAAAAAAAAAAATAATATTCAAATTTTTTATCAATGTACTATAAACATATAAAAAAAATCAAGATAATCACATGTTCTAACTGGTAAAAATTAACCATGATTTGGCAAATTGCATGTGTGGCATTTAATATTAATACTTAGAAGAATGCAATTCCAATCTTTCCTAAATTTTTAAGTGCAATGTCGGTTTCAGAGGCATCACAAGATTCTCAGAGCGTTCAAAGTAACAGCGAAGTTAATGAGTATGTTTTTAGCTTCCTGCTCACAGTTTTCGTCAGATTTGTTTGTGATTCACGAGGCTGTCACGAATGTTTTTTTTTAGTTCTTTGAATAGCTTGATTGGATCCGATAACTTTGGAGAATACTCTTCGCACACCCAAAACCCACATTCCACTGAAATTTCACCAAATGCAGCAATGGTTTGTTTCTACTAAGTAGATACTTTCAAACTGTAGTTCTCTCTCAAGTTTCTAACACAGAATCTTGTCTTAGGCATTTTCCATACTCTGCGACTTACTGGACGAATGTACGCTAGACGTGATATTCGAAGTTCACAGAGAAACCAAACTGGCAACATCAATATGTCAAATATGCAATACCGAGTAAGTGATGAGTTTTTTCACCGCACCTTAATATTGCCTTTGGAGTCACTTAACGTCGTCTCCTCGATTAGGTGTCGCTCTTTTAGTAAGTAGAAATCTGACAATCAAAGTCAAAATGTGAATCGAGTTCATTGATTAACGAACAAAATTATAGTTACTCATCCGGGATCGGATATCTTTGGTAATCACCCTCAGCCGAACAACTCTCCGACTTTAGAATGTGTACATTGTCAACGACACTATCCGTCAAAACGGTACGCACCCCACCTGGAAAAATGTATGGGCTTGGCGGGCAGAAGTTCAAGTCGTGTTGCTAATCTAAGGTATTTTACACCTAATGTCACTAAGGGCTATTTATGTAATGCTTGGAATTATGTTAATTGAAATTTTATTGACAAGAATGGGTAACGGGAGAAATTCATCGTCACCGCGTACTTCATATTCTGAAGATAATGGAAACCAAAGTGATTCCGACGGAGGTTTATATATAGACAAAAAGCGTGAGTTGACGATCCGATCCTGATTATTTGGTAAAAATAAAATTTCTCATTCACAATTATTACTATTCTGTTGCAGGCAAGAAAATTAACGGAAAATCGAGGGTAAATATTTCAAGGCTTCATAGCAAGTTCAAATTTCCCAACTCACACTGATGTGTTGAACAAGTAGGGTTCATCGCCCGCGAAATATTCCAAGCATAAAAAACAAAAATCAACGCGTCAGTATTACGAAATTTCTTATCTCACTTGTTGTCGTTTCGTTACTACAGAGCTCCTGTTGATATTATTCTATCGTAAATTTCAGTTGATACTTCAAATTCCGTAAATTCAGGAACCAAGGTATATTGTTAATACGGGTTAATTCTGGTGCAATTTATGGTTTATACTAAAAATAATTATTATATTTGAATTTCGATAGTTAAAGTGTAAGTGTTAACCAAACTCCATAAATTTTTTGGAACATAAAGTTTTTTTTATGGAGATTTTCGGTTGTTGCTGAATTGCAGTGATACCGAAGAAGACGTCCAGAGGATCCGAAAGCCCTGCACCATCTTCTACATCCAACAGTCCACATCGTGGCCAATCACCAATGAGGAGTTCGCAATCGAGCGTTCCGAACCTGATCGACGATTCAAAGAACGAATGCCATTTTGAAAAAGGAGAAAATTTAAGATTCAATGGGTATGGACCGATAATGTTATTTGGATGAATTCCTATTGATACATTTGTTTTGTAAGAATCGTCTTATGATATTGATATACATGTAGTAAGTCAAATGAGATTTGCACCATTTTTAAATATAATCCACCTCTGATACATTATTTTCAAAGATTTTCGCGAATCCTAATTTGATTTGCGCACATCTATTTATTGAAATTTACGATCTAACTTTATTGGAAAAGGATTGACGCTCCTATGGAAAATTATGGTGACACATCCACACAGTCTTCAACTGCGGATAACAATGATACTATAGGTAAACTCTTTTTATTATACTATTATACATTTTTTGTCAGTCACAATAAGATTAAATGTCGTTTTATATGATTTAGATGTTGAGGCAGATGAAACAATAGAAGTACTTCAAACATCCAATAACTCCGACTTCTTGGCTTAGACTAGGATTAAATATTACACATAAAGTAAGTTATATAACGGTTAACAAAGTTTAAATATTTGACGGTTAATTTCAATTTTTCCTTTAATTTTTTTTTTTTTATGTGTCAGCAGAGAAATCGAATGTATGTCAAATTTCTCTTAATAATATAAGAATATACTAAATACGGGTTGTAAAAACCAAACGCGCGAATGTAAATCATTCGGACGTCAATCCTCTAGATAATTTTGTTCTTTGATTGATTTGCGGACCAATCATTTATTCTTATTCTGTAAGTATTCCATTCACATCATTTTCCTTCTCATCTTTAGAAGCCTTATTCTGCCAAAGGCCATAACTCTTTCCGGGTGTTGTCTAGTAGAGAAAGTGAAAGAACATAAATATATATTAAAAAGTATTTTAAGTAAATTTGTGAAATATGCTTTTTTTTTTAATGACACATACCTGCCACAATCTTATAGTACCATCCTCTGATGCGTAAAGACAAGGGTTTAAGTAAAGTTGGTGTAAAATAAAAGACAGGTAGACAAAGCGAATTCACAAACCTGAGCCAGTGGCATAAATTTCACCATCGGGACTGTAGCTTACAGTATGAATTGGTCCATGGTGACCTTTGTAAACCTCTGCGTTCAATCGATGATCAGTGATTTGTTCAGCTGATGTATACAAGTTTTACATCCAAAGATTGCTCACCAAGTTCTTTGCCACTCTCAAAATCATATATCCTCACCCACAGATCTCCACCTGCGACAAACCTCTTGTGATCAGTATGTAACGAAACTGAAGAAACATCATATGCTGTTGCGATAGATTTGGAAACCTGATAACTAAGTGACAACAACGTATAATTGAAATCAAAATAATCTCGGAAAATGAATTACTCGAAATAAAAATAATGACACACGTTGACGCGTCCAGAAAGTGGACAACTTTGCCAGCTGTACTCGTGATATATTTTCCATCTGCGGAAAGTTCCATGCTAGTGATGGGATGTTCTGTCTTGAAACTATTAACCTTACTAAAACTGCGAAGATCCCAGACACTAAATAAAGTTAACCACGGGTTATTATCAATATCAATGCATACACCAAATTAAATAGATTGTTAAATAAATTATTATTTGTTTAGACTCCTACCGAATCTCTTTGTCATCCCCTGCACTCAATATAACATTCCTTTCACCATCCCAAATAACGCTCTTAATGGTGGACTCATGACCCTCTGTTTCCGCAACCGCTTCTTCTGGTTTATTTAAATCGAACATCCTCAACTTTTTTTCCTGTCCACCAGACACAATGCGCGTTCCATCACCTGAAATATCCGCCGAACGTACGATGTGATCATGGGCGAACGAGTGAAGCACGTCACCGGTATATGTATCCCATAATTTTCTAAATGGAATCGCAATTATTCATGAGTTCTATACCTATGACAATAAATCGACATTATTATCCGAGAAACAGCATACACCGTAAAATCAGCTGAAGCCGTAACTGCTTTAGATGCATCTTTGCTCAATTTGGCACTCCACACGGCACCTTTATGGCCTAGAAAAGTACCTATCCAATCGCCCGTGGGTCCATCTCTAAGCATCGGGCTTCCATCTAAACGAAATGAATGTGCCATCAAGCTTTAGAAATTTTCTTTCATGTAATATCAAAGCAGAACAATATTTCTTTTCAACAGACACCTTTGCAAGCACTTATTAAGTAATAGGTTCCATCAGTGATGGGCGAGAATTGCAGATGTACTACTGGACGAGTGTGTCCAGAGCACGTTAAAGGTATCACTCGAGAAGGGTTTGTGTTTGGTGATTGCGATGCCATGCTGTGGGTGAACTCTTAGATAATAAATATAATATACAGAGGAAAGATGTGAATTGCATGTCGAGAAAATCTACTGTAAGCATTAAATTTTGAACCAATAAGGTTCAGCCGTATCCTATATTTAGAATGTTTTTTAATTGCTAGTATTATTTTGTCTACTAAACTAGGTCAATACAATGATTTTTTCCAATGCAGTAAGTAGAGTCGCGTGCCTAACAAATTTATGTTTTTATAAACTATATTAAAGTTATTTTTTTTTGTAACTTTATTAAACTTTCATATGACAACTTTATACTATATATTATTAGTTGAAGAATTACACTATTTAAAAATATGAGAAGTTTACTAAATTATTTGATTTAAAAACAAAAACTAAACTAGATACTTTAAGTCAAATTTAATAAATAATATTTTATATAGATTGATATTAAATCTTTTATCTATTAGAATTTTTATTATAAATTGTCAAAAAACAATAAATTGTTAAATTAATATATTAGAAAAAAAAAAAAAAAAAAATCAATTTAAGATTTTTAATTAAGTTAATATCTTTCTTTTAAAAGATTGAAATATTTTTTAATTTCAAATTATTTGAAAAATTTGATTATTTTTGAATAATAAAATTTTTCTAAAAATATTTCAAAAACTTGTTTTTTAATTAATATATAAATTTGTTTATTTTATTTTTTGTATTAACATTATACTAAAAAGTTTATCTAATTAAAATAAAAAAATCTTTTTAAAAATTTTATTTAATTTTTTGAAAATTTCAACTTTTCTTTTCAAAAAAATCTTTTTATTATCTAAAGTACTTAATAAGAAATAAGTATTAATATTATTATATAAAAATTTATTTACTTCTTGATATTATAATTATTTTTTTAAAAAGATCTATGGATCTATAGCACAGTAGTAGTGCTTCCAGATTACAATCACAAGGTTCAAAATTCATTATTATCTAAAGACCAAGTGAAAAAATATTATACACAATAAAATAATTTTATTGAATAATAAGTTAATATTTATTATTGGATACAATTCTGGCTATCTTATCAATATCCAAAATGGAAGAATCCATTATAATATAGTATTATTTATAGTTGATCTTTACCAAATCAAGCTAGTCTATAAGTGTTATGGATGATCAGTATCTTATCATTATCATGATAAGGTAAAGGAGAATGGGATTGATTTTGTAGTCAACTAGGATAAAAACTAGATTGGCGAAGGTGTTTCAATAATCTTATCGACTGATAAAGAAGTTGTCAAGTCAAAAAGACTGAAGTCTTGAAGAGAGTAAACATTGTATCAGTAGAATATATAAAAGTATGACCAAACTTTCCTGTGGTAAATCATTGAAAGATCTTGGTAGAAGAAGAAATTCATGAATCATATCAAAGTCTCAAAACTAGTAACAGGTTAAAGTATATGCAATGGTCTGATAATTAGATTACTCTATAAAATTGTTTTAGAAAAAATTAAGAAAGAGTCATGTAGTTTTCCTTAATAGAACTAGTTAATATATACAGTATATAATATATTTACCATATATAAATTATCATATATACTGTGATAAAAATAGCATCTACTACCATTGGATAATTATTTTTAGTTATGATCTTCATTCTATTTCCATTTTTATTCATTTATTTATAATTATTTCTTTGATATTCTTTGATATTCTTATTGATACTTGATTAGCATAGATCATTTTATAAAATATAGCACGTGACATAATTTACTGTAGATCAGACAGCCCAGGAGGCCTAGAAGGCCCAGGAGATTTAGGAGGTCTAAGAGGTCCAAGTGGTCCAAGTGGTCCATTTTTACAAGTATATAAGCAGTTATAATTCACTCAAAAGTAGGATAAGTTTGTAAATAG